GCTGCAGGGATATATTAATTCTGGGCAGTTCATCACAGGGAGACCTGTTTTATGACTGGGAGGATGCTTTTGGTAACTTAGCTCTTTCTTTATTTGAACTGCGAGGGGGGGATTGGGTCTACCTGTAAATAGAGAGGGAGCTGAACAGTAGGAATGAACACACACTTTCTTGCAGCTGTGACTCCTGCCTGTCTGATCAAGATCATGCTGGTTTTGTGGTTCAGGGAGTTATTTGGCTGATGGGTCTTTCAAAAGAAAAATGATTACAGAGGAACTGAGGCTAACCATCGTTAAGCTGCTGGTGCACATGAAGCAGACCTGGGCTAAGTGTGTCTTTCAAGTGTATTTATTAGGCAGGAAGCGGGAACAAGCACAGGGAAGGCCGTGCAGGCTGTCGTGCAGATGAGTGTGTTAATCCCTTTTGTCTGTAACACGCACAGATCCAGCAAGTTACATAGGGTCTGGCACCCTATCTGGGCTTGGGTCAGCGATGCACTTCCTTCCTATAGTAGTTATTGATTGCTTGTAAAAATTAATTAATGTTGCAAGAGAAGCTGTGGCAGGAGGTCTGGTTTGCAAGATCCACCCTGGCCACAGCTGAAAAGTCCTCTTGTGGGGAGGTCTAAGGGTTTTACTCTCTGAGACTCTTGAAGTTTTGCCTTGGGTAAAGGTTGATTTTTGTCCCTGGCAGCACTAGACTGGGAAAGAATCTTCATTTCATTGTGATAGGATGGGAAGTTTGAATGCCATGGTGCTCTTGTGGTGTTATAGGGGTTTAGAAAGCAGTGCTTGATGGCAGGCTTCAGAGGCCACAAGCAGCTGGTACTGAAGACCTGTTTTGTTCAGAATGCAGCTTGCGCTGATGGACGCAATGGATGTTAAGCAGTCATGGTCTTTGCTTATTGCTCACTAACACGTCAGTATGGCTGCAGATTTGGCTGTCCTATGGACAGGAAGCAAATGGTTCTTCTCTTCTTTGGAGGGGATGGAACAGAGCATGCGAGAGAAGTTCCCTCTCACTTTCTGCTGCTGCAGCAAAGCAGAGGTAGCGGTTAGATGGCAGCATCTCTGGCAGGGCTTAAGGAGGTGCACTTAGGAGCACCCCTCCCCTAGCCCCTGTGATAAATCCACGTTTATACTGAATTGAAAATTGTCATAGAAAATTAAGTATAAATAATGTGTAGGCGTGCAGCCTCCTGTTTCCTTCCTGGGAAATGACAGGAGGCATTTTCTCTTCTCCTCTGGGAATGAGAAGAACTCTGCTTGGCTTCTGGCTAGAAGCTTCCCATGTTATGCCTCATTTCATAGCCTTTATTACTGACTTTATTGCTCTGCCTCCCTGGCTTCTGTAGTCCTGCTCTTGCTTGGTGCAGTGCCGCTTGCTTTCTGCCCTAGGAGGTGATGAGCCTGCAGCCTCATGTGCAGACCTGCAGCGTGATGTGATAGAGAAGGTGCTCAGGGTCCAAGCTGAACTACACGCGGAGTCACGGAAGGTGGCTCGAGTGGCAGAGAGCCGAGCATGGCGCGGGTATTCGGGCCCCTGGTACGGCACCACGCGGCACCATTGCTCTTCAGCTGCTCCAAACGAGCTGGAGAGGGGAGGAGGAGAGTGGACAAGGCAGGTGCTTCTCAGACTGCACCTCTCTGCCAAAGCTTTTCTTTCTGGCTAAGTTTGCTTTTCCCCACACTGTCCCATGCTCCTTCCAACCTGGCACCCTCAGGGATTGCGGAGCCAGGCTGGGAGGCCAGGGCTTGGCTGGGCAGGGGGAGCAGCCTTGTGTGTCCCCAAGGTGGCTGCTGCAGGAGCCTGTCTGGCTGCTGCCCCTGCAAACGCTGATCTGCTCGGTGTCAGCTTCAGCACCACAGCTCAGCAAAAACCAGCTCTGAGGGGGATTCATGATGGAATAGAGGACAGGGCAGGAAAGAGGAAACCTCACCATAAACCAGTATGATGCCGACTTCGGACCTGAGAAGCCTGGCTTAGCTGTAGTGCGCCTGTTCCCTCTCTTAGTTCACTGTTCTGTTTGGCTCTATCTCTGGGGCAGGATGGAAACCTCTCTCTGTTTGAGAGTTCACTCCTGAAACGGTTTGGATTACTCAGCAAGCGCTTTGCTTGGCAAAGAAGTCTTCTGGCTCAGCCCGTGCCGTAGATCTCCAAGGATTTGCCTTTCTAGAGTCCTCATGGAAATTCTTTCAGCAACTCAGGCTTTCAGTAAGCGTAAGTCCAATGCCCAAGTAGTTTTGCTTTTGCAGGAGAAAGTCTTGTAACACCACGGAGTCCGTAATATGATTGGGCTCTAACATCACTCTAACAGACTGTTGGTTTAGGAGAGATGTAAGGAACTCTATAGTAAGAGGTGAGCTTCAGAACCAGCTGTGAGTGTTTGTCTCCCTGTAGGTGTGAGCTCCAAGAGGAACACTTCAAGCCAGCTCTAAATCCAAGTAAAAATGTGTTATTTCAGTTATCTGCTTTTTTTTTCTTTGTTTTTTTTTCTCCCCTGTACTGTAGAAAGAAACATGACAGATGTTACTTAAGCTTGGATTAGGCTGGCTTTGAGGATGTTTCTGTAAATAGAATTTGGGGTTATGGTTGACAACAGATGAGAATAATAAAGTAATCTTGAATCAGAAACAAAGCAGGAGCATCTCAAGGTGTGTATTTTGGAATTTTGGGTCTAGTCTCTCTATTCTTTAAGAGAGATTCTGTCTAATTGGACTGCAGAGGAATGAATCTCAATCAAATCCAGAGATAGAGGGAATGACTGGGGCAAGAAGCAACACAGGTGGAAGCTGGTGTCCTGAGCCCTCGAGAGCTGTGGTTTGAAGCTGTCTGGCATTTTCACAGTGAGTCTTCATACCCCAAACTACTGCTGTTTATCAAAAAATTCACTATGGTCTCTGGAAGCTCTTTGGTTAGACGTCTGCAATGAAAATATAAGGAGCAGGGAAACCTTTGGCATTTGTAACTTTATTGCAGAAAAAAAAATCCACTATTAACATATTTTACAAAGAAAGTTGCACTTTGGTGTTTGGCTAGTTTTCGTCCTCACCCCTTCCTGGACAGCGACGCATGGGAAACCAGAACAACCAGCCCCTGCCTTCTGGGTTCTGCGCAGAGACTCCTTCCAGCTACACCGGCCTACACCAGTTTCAGTCGGGATGGAGTTCTAATTTCTACCACTAACTTGCCTCCTTTTGTGCCAAAACCCAGCAGCACCCTGCCCGGCGGCAGGGGAAACAAGTCTGTAGCTAGGGAGATTGCTCTGTGCAGACAAGGCTTGATACAAAAGCTTTGGAGCTGTGACAATTGCCCTTTAGTTTCATGCAATAACAGGAGGAGGGAACCAACCCTTCTTCCTTATTGTGCCGGGTATTCTTACAGTAAACACACAAACCCAAAGCCAACGCTGAACCAGAACTGCCCTCTGGTCATTTGTCAGCTACTTGGGGAGTAGTAATGCAGGAAGGGAGAACTAAAGCCTTGTCCAGTTCATCTATTTGACCCAGACCAGTTCTGCTCTACAGGCAGACTCATCTTTGGGGTTTGTAAAGGTTACTAAGTTGAGCCTTGGGGAAATCCCCCTTTCCCTTCCCTCTGCGCTAATACGAGCAATAAATAACAGCACTGGGGGGAAAAAAGGTACTTTTGCTAGTGAGGCAAGTGCCTGGTCTCCATCCTTGGCTGGGGGTCAGCGAGTGCTGCCACGGAAGGGAGAGGAGGGACTGCAGTGTGTAAGAGCAACGTGATAGAAGATCTCTAGCCCTTGCTGTATCCTGAGGGAGCAACTGGCTTCATCAAAAATCCGTCTAGAGAAGGGGAGATGAGCATGTGTTTCTCTTCACAAACTGTAAAATGTGAATTAGAAAACAGGAACAGATATTACTTACATTAAACTTCTGTACAACACTTGGAATCCTGCCATGCACAATTCTGGGCTTTCTGAGCCAAGACACATGAAGATCCTCAGATTTGCACTCAGAGACTCTGGCCCGTGGTTTTCCTTGAGGGAGCTCAGGAGCCTTGGTGCAACATCTTGGATGCAGTTTACAGCAGTGATGTTTTGAGGCAAAAGGGCAGAATCTAAATCATCCTAACACCTAGAAAGGGAAGGGGAGGAAGGCACCTGCATCTAGGATTTGTCCTCGTGACAAGACACCGACTGGCCTTAAAAACTAACATGAGAAAGTAAAGAGACTCTGATCTTGCACTCACAGGAGGGGCAGTACAGTACCGGTTTTGTACAACAACTTTAGCAAGGAGATGCCAGCAGCAAAATGGGAGGTACCTGAGGAAAGGTGGGTGTCAATCCAGAGAGGGAAATGGGCTAAAACATTTACCGAGGTTGGGTAAGGGGTTTATGCATAGGCTGAAAGCATCAACTATGAGAGACAGGGTCTCCTGATCCTGGTAAGACCAAATTACTGTGTCTAACTGGCAACAGACCGAGTCTATCAAACCCTGTTAAGCTAAAATTATGTTCATTCCCTCCTGGCAACTTAAAAGCAACATTAGGTAGCAAGGGCACTTCTCCAGTGGTCACAAAACAACTCCCTAGTTGAAGAGCAAAGGTATGTGTGGAAGAAGGAAGCAGAGCACCTGCCATCCTCCCGGCAGGCCTGTTAGGATGGGCAGCGCCAAAACCAGCACTAAAGCTGAAACAGGAACAACAACAACAACAACAAAAAAGTGCAAGAAAAAAAATACAAAACAAGAGGGAGCCCAAGAGAACTGATCTCCCCATCCTCAGGTCCCTGAGGAGTCTCCTTTGCTCTTGTGGGGATCACTTGCCCACCTCCTTGGAAAGCAGCAGTTGCCGAGCTGGATCGAGGGCCCCGCGAGAGCTCGCGGTGCGAGGAGGAAAGAGCGCCTCGGGGGCACCGTTTCGAGGAGAGCCTGGAGAAAAGGCCAGACCTGGGCTCTGATTCCCAGCATAAAAACCTCAACACTGAACTATATTAAAAAATCTAAAACCAAAAGTCATCAGATAAAAAAAAAAAAGATCTTTCAGTCGTGTGCAAATCACAGCCACTCGTTCCTCAGCAGCTCGTCTGGAACCAAGTCCTCGAGGCCTTTTTCTCTGGGAAGTTCAGCGTGCCGGGCGGGAGGCAGCCGGGCTGCCTAGTAGCTGTAGAGCGAGAGGGGGGTGTCCTCCATCATGTCGTCCTGGAAGCAGAGGGGACGCGCTGTGAGGGGCTGTCCCGCCTGGCCCAGCCGCCACCCCAACGCTCCCCCTGCGCAATTCCTGGGTCTCTGGGCAGCTGCTCTGCCCTCCCGCTGCAGCTCTTGGGAAGGAGAGCCCTGTGCAGGGAGAACCTGCCTGCCACAGGGATGCAGAGAAGCTCGGCTGGGGGAAACCCCCATAGAACAGAGCACTGGATCTGCTTTGTAGCAGTCACCCAGCAAGCTGAGCGTAGGAGGAGACAGGAAGGGGGTATTTTAGGGGAAGTTTGGAGTATGTTCCCCTTCTTCCCTGCATTTAACCTTTTAGTGCTCCCCTGCAGAGGGGAGCCATTTTGGTAGTCAACCTTGAGACATGCTGCCTTGACGCAAACACTGGATGGAAGGAGAGGGACCAGGGATTTTGATCAGTGTTTTCACGGCTACAGCTACCCAAGATGTTGCCAGTGCAGCAGGATGGGAACTGCAAAGCGGTCAAGAGCCTGTAGCAAGTCAGGCCATGCCAGGCTGGCCCGAAGGAGCTACTCACCATAGGCAGGTCCTGCAGGCGCCGAAACTCCATGCGGCTGTTGTGCTGGCGGTACCTCAGGAAGCCCACCAGGCCTAGGATGCCCACCATGACAATGAAGACAGAGATCACCGCGATGACCAAGGGATCAGCCCTCGTTGTCTCAGCCAGAGGAGAGCTGGGCAGCTCTGCAAGGAACAGAGACCAAGGGAATGAGGCCAAAGTAAATGGAGCTGGAGCAGCAGAGCCCTGTCTCTTCTGGACTTTCTTTAGCACACCAGAGGAATGTGAGGTACACCTTAAACTCTGGGGTAGTGGGATAAAAGCAGAGTATTTACCTGGATTTTCATCATCCCCAATATCCAGCACAGAAGCTTTCTCATGCACAGGCTCTGCTGCAGATGTGCTGCTGGTGACAGCAGCTGTGCTGGCAGTGGTGGAGGTGGTCACGACTGGGGTCACTGTCCCTGTCGCAGCACTGGAGGCAGTAGTGGAGGATGTGCTCCCTTTGGTGAAGGGGACAGAGGCAGTTTGTGGCTCTGTGCTGCTCTCTATGGCACTCCCAGGGCTCGTCCCTGCTGTGGTCCCAGATCTCATCGTCACAGACCCCGTGGTCTGGCTGTCAGAAGGTCCTGGCTGAGAGCTGTTGACCATTGCTGTAAATAGGGACAACAAGTTACTTCAAAGGATCAACCCCAAGCATGGCATGGGGCCCAAAAATCGTGTCCCACTCTGGGATGAAGGACGAGCAGGGAAGCCCCACACAGCTACATGGGGAGCTAGGGACCACCCCAGAGCGAAAGACCGGGAGATGTCTCCTGTCTCCTTGTGGATGGCAGCACAAGGACCAGGCACTGGCATCCCCCAAGGTTGTGCCTGAGTGTCACAGAGCAGCAGGACCCTGCAACAGCAGCCAGGGTAAAGGACGCAGTGCAGTGATGTGCAGTGTTCGTGCACATCCCTGGTCACTCGGTGCGCGCCTCACAGGAGGGGTGTCCGAGCTGCCCTTCCCTGCGGTGCTCA